CAGCAGTGCTTGTGTTTCAGAGCAGGCTGGTCCTCCAAAAAGCTAACGTGGGTGTTGCTCATCTGAATTAACTCATAATCCACATGCAGTAGATGCAGGTGGTGAAGAAGTGGCAATGATTTTGGGAAGGAACTCCCAGATGCTTTGCTTCTATTTCCTTTGGGCTACGGTGGGTGAAAATATTTCCTTTCAAAAATAGTTGTGTGTATCTGAAGGTAGAAGAAACATCACCCACTCTGACCCTTGCTGGTAAGCTTGTTGTGTCTCTGCTGTGTTAGCAGGCTAGTGTTTGGAAGAAGCTGAGTATTGTTGCTTATAGAGTATAATTTCAAGATACATAGTGGCATGTCCTGAGAAGGAGAAGGGATCATCCTAATGGGATTGCTTTGGTCAGCTGTGAACAGATGCTGGAGTGTGAAGGTGAGATCTCCAACCCTGTATGCCCTGTGGTCTGGGTGGATGTGTTACTGGAAATTAGAAAAAATGGTGCTGGTAGGTTTGCATCCCAACAGTTTCTGTGCTAGGTTGGCCAAGAACCATCAGCAGTAACTTCCTCTGAAATCTGGAGTTACTGAACCAAATTGTAGGAAAAGTAATGCAGGTTTTTTGCCAACATTTGTTTAAAAGCTTCATTTGCACTTAACAGCTTGTGAGTATTAATCTGCACAGTCTGGAAAGAACCAACTTCTGTGCTTCTCCAGAAGGCCAGTATTTGGGCAGAGTTAAACATGCCAAAGCTGTGTCTTGGCCCAGAAGGCAAAGAAGCCAAGGAGTGAAGCTGTAACAGCCAACAAGCAGTCTGGCTTCATTAGAATTTTTTTTTTCTTTATAGTATATTTTATGTTCCTTGTTGCAGCTTTGTATTACAATGTTTGCTTCTGTACTCTGCTAAAATAACTTCTTTCCCCCAAAATATCAAAACTGAGCCATGGAGATCTGGTAGGAGCTGGACTTCTCTCCCCTGGGGAGCAGCAAATCTTCGGTGGTGTGTAAGGATGAGCTCACACAAACATCTCCAGCTGTATTCTGGTGTTCTCCAGAGTTATGTTCTTTTCCAGCAGTGTGGCAGGATTTGTTTTAGTGTTGGTAATGCTAGGAGAGGGGTCAGTGGAGAGAAGGATGCCTTGGCACCCACAGCCACTTTTATTTAGGGAATACCTGCTTGTATTATGTCTGGTGAAGAGTAAAAACATGTTGCTTATTAAGCCTCTTCTCTTATGTTCTGGTTTGAGTCTGGATGAAGCCAAGTTTCTTTTTACTGATTTTGGTTTTTCCTCAGTGAATTCTCTTTCAAGCAGCACACTTGCTGAGAGTAGCAGCAAGTTTTCCAGCTAGTGGACTGATAATGCTGGAATATTTATAGATGCTGCTGAGAGACCAAGGACACTTTGCTCTGCTTGTTCAGTCTGCTGCTTGGGACACTAAAGGAGCAGAAGACTTGTATCTACAGCCCTCCCATAGGGAAGAGCAGAGTGGACAGATGGCAAAAATTGGCAAACCAAAGTGTTCTGTCCATATATCTACACAGGTCTTGGTATCAATTCAGGGATGATGGAAGTCAAGCCCTTTCTTCCCTTCTCTTCCATCCATGGAAGAGAGTACTCATCTAGGGAGGACTCATCTATCCATCACTGTTTATGCCCAGGCCTGTGCATCCCTGACCCAACCTCACTCTGCCTTCAGCTCCTGTCTCTGGGAAGTCTCTCTCCTTTCCCTACCTGGGTAGGAGGGAATGGGATCAAGAGCATTGTTGTCATTGGTTGAGCTGCCGATCTGGAGTCAAACCATGACATCTGTGAAACACACATTCCATCATTTCCCCTCCCTAATTTTCCATATGTTTTTTCAATATGCTTGAATAACAGTTTTTCTTCATAAATCTTAATCAGCTTTTTGCTTTTGCTTCTTGTGTGTCTGAGAAGCAACTACTAGACAGTATCAGTTACTAGTGAGTTTATCAAGGTTGGAGTGTTTGAGTGCTGGGGAGATGAAGGTGGCTGGTGTTGTTCTCTCTGGCCCTGAGTATTTCCAAGCTGTGGTTCTTTTAAGTAGAACCAGGAAGCAACATGTGGCATGAGATGTGTTGGGCTGGCTTTCTGAAACTACTGCTTTTGGCCTTTTTCTCCTTGTAGAAGGAGAACCCAGAGGCTTTTTAGCTCTGTATTGTGGTGACCTTCTCATCCTGTTTTCCCAGAGCTGACTGAGCACCTGCCTGGCAATGGGAAGGAGTGATTGAGTTTCTTGTTCTGCTTTGCTTGCTCATGCAGCTTTTGCTTTTCTCCTTTAAACTGTCCTTATCTCAACTCATGAGATCTCACTTTTGCCCTTCTGATTCTGGTCTCCACCCCACCAGGAGGAGTGAGCAAACACCTGTGTCAGGGTATTTTCTGGCCAGGATTAAACCCTAGCAGGCAGGAACAGCTGAATGCTATATCCTTGGCACGCTACCTGTGCATTTTGCAAGGTATTGTTCATCTTTACAAGCCTTTGCTAGGGCTAGGCTCATCTTGGCACAGTTAAACTGAAGGATTTATAGGTAATTATAACTAATATTAGCTGATCTGGAAGTTCATTTTAGCAATATGGGGTTAATAGATACCTTGTAAGTGGTAGTCTGGCAGCCAGTTGATAATTGTTCAAAGGATGAGTTTTTAAATTGGCCTTTTAATGGAGCACGTTGGTAATGGGAAAGGTGTTACACTTTGTTCTAGGTTGTGTATTGGGGATTTACACTGAGCAGTGGTGGTGGTGCACACTTTTTAAGGGCTGGATCTTGGAAAGGCAGCCAAGTTAATTAGATCTCCTGAACTGTAGCCTATTCTTTCTAATAATAAACACTGTCCCAGTGGTACAGATAAAGATAGTAGAGGAAGCTCTTGTTTGAAAGGGAGAAGCTGGCAAAAATGGGATGGGAAAGGGAAAACAAATCTTTCATGTGTGACTTGCTTTCAAGTGGATAGGAAAAAACATTCTTGTGCTGCTGTGGTGCAACAGGATGTCCCTGAATCTGCATTAAACACTGATCTGGCACCATGCAAACTACTTAAAGAACGAGTGTTCTAAAAATACAAGGCACTATGACTTTATACTTTGGGAAGACTTCTCCAAATGTAATTAGAAGAGTAGTCCAATGATACTCCAACCCAACTCCTGATCCACGTGCAGTTCCAAGATGCTGAGGGTGCTGCTTCATGAGCAGCAGCAGGATAGCTCAGGAGGTGCTGCCCTCTCTGAGCCAGGGTGGCTGTTTGTGGGGCTGTGCAGTGAATCAAACTGGGACCTGGTCCAGCACAGCCCTCTCTCCATTCCCTGGACAGGCTCCATGACTTGATTTTCTGTGTGCCTGTGAATCAGAAACCACTTTTCAAGGGTGGGAACAATTGTGTATGGGGGAGATGGCCTGAGATGACACTTCTGTGATGTGCTTGTGCATCCACAGCCTTCAAATGAAATTTCCTTGGTCTGTCTTCTGGACAACGTACCTTTGTGAAATAGAAAATAATAGGAATAAGTAAGATGCCCCTTTTGCTCTAGAGGATAACATCATCAGCCTCTGCCTTGCTGTTCCCAGTTGACCCACTCTCAGTTCACTTAACTTATATTCCTTTATATTCACTCTTGGAGCTGGCTTGTTTTCCAGACTTGTGAAGGACCTGTTTGCCTATTCAGTGTAGCAGGTGCTGATGTCCATACCTCTCATTCCCTGCATCCTCACAGTTTTAAAGCTGTTTAAGCCTTGCCAGCCTGTGTCTGGAGGGTGCCTGTTTTGAGCTTACAGTGCTGCTAGTTTTCAGTTCTCCCCTCCAATTTGTAGCCTGAAGAACTCCAAGTCCTATCAGAAGAACAGCAGTGTTGTTTTTGCCAATGTCAGCATCTGTTGTCACATGCAGGGGTTATTTGTGCTGCCCTGACTTGTCTGCACATCTGACAGGGTACACATCACCTTTGACAACTTGAGCCATGTTGTGTGTGCAGGTTCTACAGGAGCAACAAGATGTCTTATCAAGATGCTGAGGTGTCTCATTTATCTGAACTATCTTGACTTTCAAGGTGATTTTTCTCCAGACTAGAGCATGGAGTTGTAACAGCTAAATCTCAACCAATTCTCCAACTCCAGGCATGTCAGGATATTGCTTTAGGTACATGTAAACATAAGAAGTTGCAACACTCTAGTGTGCTCTTAACAGCTGCTTAAACTTAATTATCAGTATATTAATTCTTATATAGACAATTGTGTTGGCAGATGGATAAACAAGTCCCAAATATTACCTGTAAATTGAACATCTCCTGAGTGACATACAGAAAATAGGTTTAAATCTCTTTTTTTGTGTGTGTATGTCACTGCTGAAAACCAGTTTTTAATTTTAGCACCCTGATTGGGACTACTCTAGCTTTGGAGTTAATCCTGCAACTGAAGAATATGTGAACAAAAATGTCACATTCTTGTTGCTGACCGTGCAGTCTTGGAGGCTGTGAGTTTGGGACAGGGTGGTGGTGGTTTGTTTTGAGCTTGGCCATGGTAGTTACAGGCAGGATTGTTCTAATCCTGGTGTGGTAACTGATTTGCCATTTTTTTCCTGTACTTTAGTGCCAGTGTTTGTTGCTGTGCTTGTGTAGACAGCTGGAGCTGCAAACATGCTTAGGAAGAAAAATGGATGCAAGTTCAGGCAATCAGTACACTAAATACACCTGTAGATTTGCTTGCTGGGTGTGTGGTGTGTTCTGGGGTTGTTGGCTTTTTTTTCTTGGCTTCTGTAAGAGAGGTTTTAGGATTTTTGTATGTATCTGAACAGGTGTTTTTATTCCATTTCACAGGAGGAAAATGGCTCAAACTACTGCACCAGCACGGTCCATCCATGATGAGGACTCCTCTGAAAGCAGGATGGTGATCACATTCCTCATGTCAGCACTTGAGTCAATGGTGGGTAGCAAAGTTAAGCAGCTGTGTGTTATGTTTTATTGTTGCCTTGTTGCTTGCTACCCAAGTAGCTGGTACTCTGTGCTTGTAGAAAATCAGGCTGACAGTCTAACAGTCATTTTGTACTGTTGTGTGGTGGTTTTTAAAATTACTTTGTCAAATAAACAGGAAATATTTCTAGATTGGTCAGGTAGAGAGTGGTTGAAAGGCAAGAGTCTGTTCTGGTGTTTGTCATCTGTAATATAGAAGGAATAAAGAGTCTGAAGCTAGTGCCTTTTCATCAGCTGCTGTACCTGTTCAGCAAAACTTCTTCAGAAAATACTTTGCTTTCAAGCTGGCACATCACCTGTTTTGTAGAAGTTAATTGATCATTGTGTGGTGAGTTTAAGGTTGGCCAGGGCTGTGAGAGAAAACAGCTGTCCCATTTCCTTCAAATTGAGGCACTGTCCAAGATTTGGTTCTTTTGAAATAGTTTTCTTAAATGATAAGAATAAATATTTTCCTTTTAACAATGAAACTTTGGATGGGATGGTTATAATTAATTGCAAGCCCTTTTTCCCAATGGGTGTATTCAATTCCCAAAGGCATTGTGCCACTTTTTCCTCACATGCTGCAATTGTTGGTGTTTTATAGGTTGCAGCAAACTTGCATCTGAGTTCCTAGGACAGACTGACTTTTTTTGATGACTTCTTGATCATCTCACTAATTTTTCTTAGGATCTTTGCTCTCTCCTTGCACTGCTGGCTTCCTGCTTTACTGCTTTGCCAGAAACTTCTCCCAGCAGAACAGGTGTAGGGTGTGCAAAGGGAAGGGGAATTCCTCCAGAGTGGAAGGATTGCACCTCAGTGCAGCAGCAGCAAGAGGAAGAATGGGGCAGGGGCTGCAGGCAGGAGGAAGGGAGCAGGGGCTGCAGGCAGGCAGCCTTCCTGCTTGCAACCAGCCTGTCTGAACAGAAGGTGAGGTGTGATAAGGGTGCTGGGAACAAAGGAAACTCCTATATGCTCTGTTTGAGAGTTGGAATAAGACAATATGATTATCTACCAGGGAAGTGATAATTTCACAAGGATTAATGTCATAAATCATTTTAATTAAAAACAGTGCAATCTCTGAGTCTAGACAATGCCTTAATTTCACTAATGCATCTACGATGCTTTTAAGATTCCTAATGAAAAGCATCCCAGATATATAAATTACCCTTTGCTAATGGTGGATGTTTTACTCTCAGCACTTTCTGATGGTTGGATGCTGGCAGCAGCAGTAATAACTGTTTTACATGATACCACATACATTTCTATTAACTGTACTCTTAACTATGCTAATAAAACCTTTTTGTTTTTCTTTTTATAGTGTAAAGAACTTGCCAAGTCCAAGGCAGAAGTTGCCTGTATTGCTGTATATGAAACAGATGTCTTTGTAGTTGGAACTGAGAGAGGAAGAACCTTTGTCAATTCCAGGAAAGATTTCCAGAAAGATTTTGCTAAATACTGTAAGTTTCCCTGTGGCTTTTGTTGGGATTTTTTTGTATCTCACAAACTGCTTAATGTGCAATATTATGGAACTTTGCTCCCCCAAGTTATTAGTACTGTGGCTGTGTGCTGTAATTGCATTGGCTGGGGCAAAACCAGCTGGTTAATTACTTGAAAATAATTAGTAGCAGTGATCTTGTTTGGAGTATTATTTCAGCTGTCACTGGAAATGTTAATTTCATTCTTAGCTAATGTGACAGACTAGTACAATAAGAAGTATTAGACTGTCCACCCTTACAGCACATCCTGCATTTCCTAGTGCATGTTCATTTTTCATTATATTCCCTCCTCCAATACTATTTTTCCTCTGATGAAGGCTGGGTGGAAAAATTCAGCAAGTAGTGGGTTACTTCTGTCAGCTCAGATAGTCGTGGTGCTTCAGATCATTTCATGTCTTATTAAAGTAGATACACATTTTTTGGCAAGATGCTAATTTTTTTATGTAGCTTTTCTTGGTCGACAAATACGTATCTATACCATAATGACTTTACATTACATCTGCATTACTTTTGTAGTCCTGTAAGTGCCTCTAGGGTGTGTTTTTTGTTCTATTTAATTTTTTGATAATAAAACAGTGGAATCTTTGCCTTCATAAAATACAATCCATCGAGAACAGGACAGTATTCTTAAGACTTAGGTTTCAAAGATTCAGTGACTCTTTGGGGGAGCACTGTGCTCATTTAGAAAGGTGCTGTTGGACACTGCTTCATCAATAAGGAAAGGTACCTTTGCCTGACTAGGGAAGAGGAGAAGGTGGCCAAGCTCAGTCAAGAGTATAGCACATTGGTATGATTTTTAATGTGCTGAAGCTCTGACTGGCATGTCTTGCTGGTTGCTTTCAGTATCTGGTGTGTGTGCTGTGCTGCTGATTTGGATGTGGCCCTTCTATGGTATTTGGATGCTCCAGTCATGATGTAAATGAAGTATTAGTACAGATGATTTGCTTCTTCCCTACTGTTGTGATTGCCTCTGATTAGATTCTTTGTATCTTGCTTGTCATGTCTATATACCCCAAATGGGGTATTAGGCTTTTCAACTCTAAGTGGAATGTCTCAGACTTGAAAGGGAGTACAGACTGGATCCCCTGATCTGTGTGGAAGCAGCCTAATACCTTTTCAGCATTGCTCTAATAACAGAGGTTATTAGTGGGTCTAACTGCTGTTGTTTGTGTTTTGTTGTCCTTGTTATAGTATCTAAAGAGCAGTCTTCATCATCATCTTTGTCTCTGTGCTGTGGTGTTACAATCAAAATACCATTCTGTAGCTAGCATACAGCTGCATACTAATGCAGCTAGTTTAAAAATACAGTGGGGTTTTTTTTAGTGATGTGCCAGTGTGGGAACTGGTTTCCCACAGTCGTTTTCTTTGGCCTTAAACTATTCTGTGGCCAGCTGAGACTTCTGTGGCTTTTGCTGCTCCTGAAGCTGGTAACTGGCCTCTTTTACAGCCTTAGTAGAGTGAGGTTGCTTGGCTTGATTGTCAGAAACCTTTTGTGTTCTGCCTCTGCCAAGCCAGGCAAGGGCTATGAAGCCAACAGCTCATTCACAACACTTGCTAAGATCTTCAGTCATGTTTCAGTGGAGACCACCCATCTTGTTTCCTCAGAGTTGCAAACAAACAGAAAATTACTGTAGATAGCAGATCTTTTTGAAATTCCCTAGTTCCTAAATTCTGCCTCAGGTAATTTGCTTTCCTTGTGGTTTAAGTGATCCTTTGATAATCCTAAAATAATTTTTCTTTAATTTGAGGTGGTTGGACAATTTCCTGAACTGTAAAACTGCACAGCCTTAAAAAGCTCAGCTGAGCTGGGTGGATGTGTTATAAAACAAAGCAAAATGTTTCAGCCACACACACGTTTCCCCTCCTTCCTTCATTGCTCATGGTTATTTTCAGAGTATTTTTCCTTAAATGCAAATAGTACATGGTAATACAAGAAGAAAAGACACCCAACCACATATGGACTCTTGGTGCAAAATGAGGGGTTTTGGGGGTTAGTTTGTTGTAATCCTTCTGAATCCATAAAGCTTTTGCAGAATAACTGGACTAACCCTGCAGTGTGCTCCCAGCTCTGCAGAATGCAGTAGTTCTACCACAGAACCATTCCTCACCCATCCTGAGCCATTTACCCTCAAAACACAGCCTCCCCAACCTTCTTCCCCACCAGGTCTTGTTGCTTGTGCCCCAGACATCACCTGTCCCAGATGTAGCTCAAGTCCTGCTGGGGGCTCTAGTAATTGTGGCTAAGGCCTTCCAGAGTCTGTAAGTTGTGTGGCCTCCAGCAAGTGGAGAAGTGTCCATCAGTGCTGCCAGGAGGAGTGGAATGGCTGCCAGGTTTGGTCAGTGGTGAAGAGCTCTTTTAATCTTACTGTCTTGGTCTTGATCTTACTTGGTCTTGTTTGTCAGACTTGACTAAAATTGGGCAACAAACGTGAGAGACATCAGGGAGGGAGGTGCATGATAATGAGCTCAAGAAAATGGATTAAAGTCATGTAATAAAAAGCAACACTAAAGGTTTCTTGCAGTCCAGAAGGAAAATGTCTGTTTCTCTGTTCAGCAAGTGGAGAAGTGTCCATCAGTGCTGCCAGGAGGAGTGGAATGGCTGCCAGGTTTGGTCAGTGGTGAAGAGCTCTTTTAATCTTACTGTCTTGGTCTTGATCTTACTTGGTCTTGTTTGTCAGACTTGACTAAAATTGGGCAACAAACGTGAGAGACATCAGGGAGGGAGGTGCATGATAATGAGCTCAAGAAAATGGATTAAAGTCATGTAATAAAAAGCAACACTAAAGGTTTCTTGCAGTCCAGAAGGAAAATGTCTGTTTCTCTGTTGTTCATTTTAGTGGGAAGCAATCAGTATTGTCATCTTATTTTTGTTTTGCTTATTATTTTTAGAAAGTGTGGGTACACTTTTGCTACTGGCAGTGAAGGAGTTTTCAGTGAATCAGGCTCTGTGGAAAAAAAACCCCAACCACTCAAGAAGTGACACAGGGTGTAGCTATAAATGGAAACTGATGTCTCTTAGACCTGAGTCTCCAGGCAAACCTTACCAACTGTCATTAAGCTTCTGTGTTAGCTGTAAATAACCATATTCCATTTTTGCATTTATTTTTGTGTTATGGGAGGCCCTGTCATATTGCAGAGGAAGCAAAAGTTTCAGGCCTGAAGACCTCACTGGAGGTGGATCCAGGGCACAAAGCAGGAGAGTGATCTGCAGAGGAAGGAGGAGGTTCTCTTTTCAATAAAAATATGAAGTTTTAGATGCAAAATAAATGTTTGTCAAAATCGTTGCTGCTTCAGCTCATTCACAACCCATTCATAATGAGTTGTTCACCCTGATGCCTGTTTTCTCCTATTAGCCTAGAATTAGGATGCCAGCAGCAGTGATAATGCAAACTGCAGCATTTCAGCCTTGCTGCTGTGCTGGGTGAAGTCAGGGCACAGCTCCAGCACTCATCATCCTCTTGCACATGGGAACACAGCTCTCCCTTGCTTGCTTTTCTTTCATATGCAGAATACCTCTGTTGTTTTGCCCCGGTTTTTGCTGGGGAATCCTCAGTAAATCTCTGCAAGAACTGAATGATAAAAAGGAAGGCTGCCACCTGAAACAGTCACTTCTGTTTGCTTTCCAATATTGAAAGTGGTGTTATCCCCTCACTCCTTTTGCAACGACTTTTGCTCAGAGGCCAGAACAAGCTGTAGAGCTGAAATCTTCTCTTTCACGTGCTGATGGCTTGTTTGCAGCTCCTTCTATTCAGCATGAAGAGATATGTCTCTATTAAGGGACTTAAAAGGTCTTTAGATGCAGGAGCTGTTGTGGCAGAAGTCAGATCCTTTCTAGAAAAAGTTGAGCTGACCACATACAGCATAAAAAGAGGCATGTACATCCCTAGGGAGCTGTGGCACCTCCACACAGGCACTGAGCTGACAGCATAAAAAGAGGCATGTACACCCCTAGGGAGCTGTGGCACCTCCACACAGGCATGTTACCTTTTCCCTGGTGACTGTCTTGGTCCTTTCTCTTGGCACTTTTGCATGTTCCTTCTATTGTGCTAGCCTCTCCTGAGATTAATAACATTTTCTACCTTTTCATGCAAAAAAAAAGCCTGTCTCATAATTCATCACTCCTGCACCTCAGAAGGTGGTAATTTACAAAGGTTGTAAGAAGGATATAATGATTTTAGTGTCAATTGAAATTTATTCATTGCTCATGTACATACATAAGTGCATTTCCTTCTAAGGCAAATAATTCCTTAGACTTTGTCAGGCATCATTTCCAAGTGTGTGCAATTTAACTGGAAAGACTAAGTACTGGGGTTTTTAATATTTTATTTTTGTCTTTTGTAAATAACTGCCAGGTGTTGTGGAAGATGAGAGAGACAAAAAGCCAAAGACTATATCACCTATAAAAAGACTGACAGTGGATATTGTGGAACTGGAAGCTCTTAGAAAGTCTGTGGAGGACTTCTTCTGCCTTTGCTATGGTGGGTGCTTTAAAGTCTTCTGAATAGCTGTTCTGGATTTCTAAATTTTCATTCCAGTTGGGAGTAAAACACTGTATGATTTTAGCCTTCCAGCTCTGCTGCTGGTAAGGTAATAAGTTTAACTTGTTTAGTAACCAGTTCATGCCATTACTCTCCAAAGACTTGTCCTTTTGCTCACTTGAGCACTCCTGAACTCAAAACTATATATTTTTTTAATGATTATTTTGCTTTTCCCTAGGTAAAGCTTTAGGAAAGTCAACAGTGGTACCTGTGCCATATGAGAAGATTCAGAGGGACCAGTCTGCTGTGGTGGTGCAGGGCCTGCCTGAGGGACTTGCATTTAAACATCCAGAAAATTATGATGTTAAAACCCTGAAATGGATTTTGGAAAACAAATCAGGAATCTCATTTATCATCAAAAGGTTATCTGCTCTGTCTTGTGCTAGTCTGTCCAGTTTGGTTTTGTACTTAAGTTAAAGTCCAGTTAATTTGGGTTTTTAATTAAATCCATTGCAGCCTGTTTCTCTTACACAGGAGTGCTCTTCTGTAGTGTTTTGTGACCAAGTAAGTAATGATGTCTCTGCTAAAGCTGTATTTTTTCTTCTGTGTTTCCACACAGGCCTTTCCTAGAGCCAAAGAAACACGTGGGTAAGTTACTACTTTCTCAGACTAAACAGAAACAGTTAGAATTTTAGATTAGATAACAACATAGGTACAAGAGTTGGTCATGTGGATGAAGTGGCAAGCTGTGCAGGAATTCCTAGACTGTGAGTTGCCTTGCTTATGGAACTGCAACCTTTTCCTTTATGCTTTCTGCCAAGAGCAACTAATTAGAGATGAAATTTGTTTTACTGCATTCTTCATCCTTTTACTGAATTAAAATTTATTGTGAACGGGATAGGATCCTGGGGAAGGAAGTGACCTCTTGAAGGGCTCCATTGCATTTTTACAAGATGCCAAGAGTTTGCAATGCTCTGTGTTCCAGTGCATAGCTGAATGTGGCATTTACATCTAATTAAACTGATTTGATCTCCTGAAGTGGCTAGGTGCTGCAGTCGCCATAAAAGCCTCTAGATATTAAAAAATCTGAGCTAGAGTGAGTTTTTTAAAACAGTGCAAAGATTCACTTCTAGATTAGAAGACATCCCTTCTGTTCCTTTCATGGGATCATGTTGCTTTACTTGGGAAATTCATCTGTGTGAGGATGTGTTTTATGAAGAGGCTGAACCAATCTCTATAGGAATGTAGTCAAGTTTCACTTTCTCATGTGAAACAGCCAGAAGTTGATGCTGAATTAGTAAAATGAGGAATGTGTTCCCAGTAAGGAGCCTAGAGAGTGGGAAGTTAGAGAGCTCATGGTAAGAACACATTTCTCTTGAAAATGCAAGGCAGGTTTTCAGTGTGGTAAATGACATGCTCCAAATAGAACCTGTTTATGTCTTGCTGTAATTTAAGACTCAGCTGAATCTCTAGACAACTTGCAGTTTTCTTTTAGCAGAGTGTAGCTGCAGGATTTCTTTACCTTTATTTCCCAAGGTTACCACCTAGCACCATGAAAGAGAGCAGTGAAAAGGATGGTGACTTTTATATTGGTGTTGCTTTATAGATTAATAAAGCAGATTAACAAGATCTTTCCCTCATATCTGTGAGTACAGAAAATAAGCTCATATGCTTATAAAATGTGGACAGGTGTTTGCTTCATGAAGTCCATGTGATGTTTTCAATCTGTGTTTAAGGCAAATGACATATAAGAAATTCAAAGATTGTCTTTTAACTTTCAGGAGCTCATATGACAGATCCTTCACATTCAGTGATACCACCAGGTGGAAGGTGAATTTAAAATAATCTCTAAGAATAGTGTTTTTTTCCTGTCAACTATCTATTTTCATAATGTGCTTTTTCTGTCCAGCTGACCTTTGCATGTCTGGGATTTTAAAAAGCATGAGGCTGAATTTTCTCTCTTTTGACCATTATTTGTGGGAAAACTTACAAATTAAACAGATGGTAAAATTACCCCTCAGTTTAATTAGCCCAATGAGTGTTCTTAATTCAGTCTGTCAGTCAGGGATAAGTTTGTCATACTTTATGATACAGCAGCAATGGGGAACAGATGTAATGTTGCTTCCTTTCTCCTTCTCAACTGAAAAAACCCTAAAATAATTTATTTGTGAGTAAATTGAGATATATCTGGTATAAATAAAAAATTGGTTAATGTGAAAACAGGGATCACTTTTCTGTCACTGAGTTTCTCATTAAATCACAAAGATGCCTTGAATATTGAGTATGTCCTGAAGATATGGGGATAGGAGATTCCTGGGAATTCCCTGGAGCTAAATCAGATAAGCCAATATGTGGGTTTTTTTTTTATTTTTATGTTCCTACTTGGAAAATACTGGGTGATTGATTTCACTTGACAAACTGTAAAGCTAGAAGAACTTTGCAGAAATGTGATACTTCTTTTTTATAATGTCAATGTGCTTGATTTGTTTATTTTTGTAGTTGTCCTTCTATTCAAGTGAAAGCAGAACCAAATGAGGATTCTGGTATGTTCAAAGTTCTGCCCTTTTTGAAATTGTTCACTTCTCAGTTGGAGGTTTTTATCAAGTATTGAACCTTAACCAAATGTTTCCATTTCTAAGCAGAGAATATTTGTAAAATTTTGTAGACTAAAATAATTTACCTTTGGAAATACTTCAGTTTTAAGTGGAGAAGACAGTCACAGAATCACAGACTGGTTTGGGTTGGAAAGGACCTTCAAGATCATCCAGTTCCAACCCCCTGCATGGGCAGGGACACCTCCCAGCAGCCCAGGCTGCTCCAAGCCCCATCCAACCTGCCCTTCAACACTGCCAGGGATGGGGCAGCCACAGCTTCCCTGGGCAACCTGGGCCAGGCTCTCACCACCCTCACATTAAAGAATTTCCTCTGGTTTTTATCTTGTTCTAATTCAAGATCACTTTCTTGCAGCTGGGGGTGTAAAACTTAGTTTATTTGTTATCACTAAAATACTTAACAAGACAATATCCATTTTCTAGCTGAAATGGAAATAAATAGCAAACTATGTTACTGCTTGTTGAAAAACCTGTATTCCTGAGTTCCCCTGCAGATAGGACATGATCCTGCAAGGATAAAAGCAAGAATAATCCCATGAAAGCCAGTGAGACAGCAGGTGTGCCTAGAGGGAAGCTGGTGACTTTGCCTTTTGTTGGGCTGTGCTACACTGCTCAGCATTTTGTGTAAGAATTAAGTTTTTATATTTAGTCCAGATTTTTTCCTCTAGTTCTTTATGCTTCTCAACTTTATGCTTTGGTTTGGGAGCCCTTCATGGGGAACATTCATCTTAATGTCTGCAAAGAGGTAACTGCAGCTTTTTGTCAAGTCAAGCTTGGGATCTTTCTAGTCCTGCTTTCTAGGCATTTTAGTAATTTTCTCTTTGTTGGAATGTTTTGAAAACGTTTCCAGGAATGCTCTGAGGGCCTATGGAAGGGATATTTCACTTGAGGAAGCCAAGAGCTGTTGAGGACCTTGGGTGTTGTTCCATCAGCAGCACAGTTTGATGCAAAGTGTGTTTGAACTTGGCTGTGCGGAGGAGTGAGCAGGAGTAGGTCTGGAAGTACTTTCAGCAGCAATGAGTGATAATATATATATATTTTTTTTGACTGTGATAGTCGGCAAAAAAGCAGGAGGCCAGTTTTTTTATTTCTTCAAGTCTAAGAGAGCATTTGCAAGGATACCCTGTTTGTAGAGAAGCATTTAATACTGAATCCCTTCTGCTGGTGACCATACTGAAATGTAAGAAAGCAGCAGGTCACTTTGTTACCATTGTTTTAACTCAACAATTGCTTTGTGTCTCAGCACCTAAAAATATTTTTTAATCTTTTTTTTTAAATGGAGACCAGCTAGGATATTGGTGGGTGTTTTGCTGAACTTTTTTTTTAAGAATCTAGTTATGATTCATTTCCATATTTGATTCCTTTGTTGCTTTGTTCTACAGGACTTTCTTTGGACAAGAAAACAGTAGAAGTGAAGGAGGAATCGGATGATCCTGACTACTACAAATACAATATTCCAGGTAATGTTATTAACTTTGTCGTAGTGTTTATCTCATCAAAAGGTTGGTTGCTGAAGTGTTGATCTCTCTGTGCCTTTCTTTTTACTTATTCTTGGTTCTTGTGTGTGCCTCATCTTTGTTAGGATACAACATTTCCATGCTGGTTAAGTTACTCTGAAGAATAGCACAAGAGCTAAAATACAACTTCAGGAAAACCATGTGTGTGTGTTTGAGCTGAATGAGAAATTGCAGAGAAATTCCAGGAGTATTCTGAGCTGTTTTGTGGTTCGTTTTTTTTTCTGACTGTCCAGTAGGCAGAGTCTGATTCCAGTGACCTCTTGAAACAGGAAATAAATCATGGTAATGATACTGTCTAAAACACTGTTGGAATCTTCTCTTCAGTTTAAAGTTTCAGTAACTTCTACAGCATATAAAACATTTTTCCATATGGAATGACCAGTATGTGTCAAAATTGTATTGAAAGGTTTACTTATATAGACAGACCATCAAATTTGTGAGGTCCATGAGTCAGGCTCTGTGTAGGTTTTAAGGTGACTTTCAGTTGCTTTGCCTCTTCTCCATGTGCCTGGTTAATACTGCACATTTCCTATGAGAAAGCTGAGAGAGACTTTGGACAAGGGCAGGGAGTAAGAGGACAAGGGGGGATGGATTAAAACTGCAAGAGGGGAGATGTAGGTGAGATATTAGGAGGAGGTTCTTCCCTGTGAAGGTGGTGAGAGCCTGGCCCAGGTTGCCCAGAGAAGCTGTGGCTGCCCCATCCCTGGCAGTGTTGAAGGGCAGGTTGGATGGGGCTTGGAGCAACCTGGGCTGGTGGGAGGTGTCCCTGCCCATGCAGGGGGGTTAGAACTGAATGATCTTTAAGGTCCCTTCCAGCACAAACCAGTCTGTGATTCTGTGTTGAAAATTAGGAACATCTTTTAGTGTGTCAGTAACAACAGAACGTTTCTCCTTTGGAGATCTCCCAGAATACCAGATGTTCATTTTAATGGGACAACCATAGCTAGGCTGAAAAGGACTAAATACAGATCTGCAGGACTAAATTATGCTTACTGGAGCATTCCAGCTATCACAGTGTCAGTTTGACTCTGGGTTGGCAATTAAAGCATTGACATAAATGCTCTCCATCCCCCCTCCTCACACCCAGCTAGGGAAAGGAAGGAGAAAATAAGGAGAGAGTCTTTCTGGATTGAAAACTAAACTAGACAGCTTTAATTAAATATTAATGAAAAGAAAATACGTACCAATGTAAACAAGTTCAGGAATGTGCAAAGCCCTATTGCCTCCCCCCATCCCCAGCAACTCCCCTGGCATCTCCTGAGCTGTGAGCAGCTCTGAAATGTCCCAGAGGTAGGAGCTGAGGGCAGAGTGAGGAGGGTCAGGGATGCACAGGCCTAGGAATAAACAATGATGGATGGATGAGTCCTCCCTGGACACCCATGGATGGAAGAGAAGGAATAAGAAGGAAGGGGCTTGACTTCTGTGATCCCTGAATTTATAGTCTGTTCCTCCCTACAGAGGGGCTGTGGATAAAACTGGTCTGCTCATTTAGTGCCCAAAGCAGTAAATCTGACAAGCAGAGCAAAGTGTCCTTGGTCTCTCAGCAGAATCTATAAACATTCCAGTGTTATCAATCCACTAGCTAAAAAAACTTGCTGCTTAAAAGAGAATTCCCTGAAGAAAAAGTAATCAGTAGAAAGAAAATGGGCTTCATCCTGGCTCAAACCACACAGTTAATATTCCTGCATGTACCTTATCTCTAAGTACTAGTTGTTATGACTCTTACAAGAAGAAACATTAGTTATGATGCTGTTTCTTAGTTTAGTGATTTAAAGATGGCTTAGTCCTTGAAATGAGGTTTGTACCCTTGGATGGAAGCGTATTAATGTGCAGTGAGAATAGATCTATTTCCAGTGCTGCTGCAGAGGGACTGGCATTCATTTACCCAGCTGGGTATGTGCATCCTAAAGCCAAGTGGGAGGGTGTATGTTCTACACTGTGGTAATGCACATAATCCCTGTGCCTGTAAATCCTTCTAGCTTCTCTGCCAGCTCCCTTGCCTTCAGACTGGTCAGCTGCTACAAAAGTGCACTGTAAAATAACAGACATGCATCTTGGCTTCTTAAGAGAAGGCTGCCTGCAAGACCCAGGCTATCATGAAGACTTTTCATGGAAAAAATGAGGTCAAAATACCACCAATGCCAGAATGAGAGCAGTTCTGAATCAATTAAAAGAGTAAAATGAAGAGCTACGGGGTTGCTTTTTACATTTTATTTTCAATTTACAAAGAAGCAGGAACAGATTAAGAAAATACCTCAGGTACACGTGTCACCCTCAGTCCTCTTTGCAGAGTAAAACAAGGCTTTTTGGAGACACAGCCCACTGTAGAACTGAATAACTTGCTGACTAAGGGCCAAACATTTCCTGAAAGAGACATTTTATCCTGTGAATTTTGTGGATGCAAGACTGCAGTTATCACTGGCACCTCCAGGTTCAAAGAACTGGAAGCAGAAGGGAAAGGCTGTAAACAATGTGCCCTGGGAATTGGCTGGTTCAGCTTTTAAACCTCTGTCTAATGAACTGACTGGTTTTGCTTATAAACTACTTGAAGTGAGTAAACAGCTGCCTAATGTCTTTCTTGTCTAAAGCTCCATGTGGTTGGACAGTGCTATTGGTTTGGGGATTTCTGGAAATGCTGGAGTGAGGCCATTAAAATACAGGGCATTCATGCAAAACCAAATGAGCTTGGAAATATCTTCTGCTGGGGAAAAAAAAGCCCAAAATGGGGAAGTAAAACTGTTTTTATTCTCACTCTGGAATGTTCTTGTCTGGAGAAGAGAAGGCTCTGGGGAGACCTCATGGCCTGGAAGTGGCCTTCTAGTACCTGAAGGTGCTACAGGAAAGCTGGGGAGGGACTTTGGACAAGGGCAGGGAGAGGACAAGGGGGGATGGATTGAAACTGGAAGAGGGGAGACTTAGGTTGGGCATCAGGAGGAAATGCTTTAGTGTGAGGATGGTGAGACCCTGGAACAAGTTACTCAGAGAATCTGTGGCTGCCCCATCCCTGGAAGTGTTGATGGGCAGGTTGGATGGGGCTTGGAGCAACCTGGTCTGGTGGGAGGTGTCCCTGCCCATGCAGGGGGGTTGGATCTGGATCTTTAAGGTGCCTTCCAACCCAAACCATTCTATGTTGAAAGTCATGGAAATCTTTTAGTGTGCCTGTAACAACAGAACATTTCTCCTTTGAGGATCTCCCAGAATACCAGAAGGAATGTTCATTTTAATGGGACAAGTGTAGCTAGGCTGGCAGTGCTCTGACCTCCAAAACATAAGACTCAGCATGGAACTGCATGTATCTTTAACCAAGAAATTCCACAGAATATATTCAGAAAACAAGCAAGCATGATGTTGTGCTTCCTAAAGGCATTCTGGTAATACCCTGGTAATTCCATGTTGTTCATATGGCTGCCATGTGTGTAGCCAAAACTGACCCAAAAAGTGAGCATGGCTGACAATGCTCATGCATGAGATGATAAATCTGTTCCTTCTGCCAAGTGGCAGAGGTTTGGCTGGGCAGTGTTGGGGCATAATCCATTAGTAACTGAGGCTGAGGGATTTAAGCTCAGTGTAAGAGGAAATTGTTTTACCTCTGTGCTTGATTTTTGCTCTTAGTGGTGTGATATCTGTGTATCTGCCTGTGATGTGCATGAGTGCAGTAATATGGAAACCTAGCTTTTTTTAACAACTACTGGTGGTAGAACTTTCAGAAGTCTTCTAAATTTCATTTTCTAGTCATTACTAAGTTAAACTAGCAGAGAATATATTGGTTTACACTTTAAAATTTTTGAACTATTTTTACATGCTGTTTTTTCTCTGACAAAGCTCATAATATGGAAAAAAAAGCTTGGAGTTTCATAAAATCTGTGTGGATCACTTAATCTGATGGATTTGCTACAAGTACTTCAGGTTTTATTGACATTAAAGATGAGGGGATTTAATTCCCTGTGCTTAATGCAGGGAACTGTGAGCCTTGTAAGTGTATGTCTTTAACTAGAGAAATCTTTCTTCAAGTTTCAACCTGTCAAAGACTCATTTTTCCTTTTTTCATTTTTGTCATAGCATATATTTGACAGGAAGAGAGTGCAACATGGAGGTTGTTGCAGAATGTGTAGGTAAAACAGTCCTGTCAGGATTTCTGAATCAAGGAATAAACACAAAAATCAGTGCTTATAGTAGGATATTAGCTTGTAATGGGATGAGTGTTTGTGTGTCAGTGCATTATGAATTACAATAGTTGCATGTTGAGAAGAATTGTTAGGAAATGACACTCCAGTCTGGCTGCACACACTGAATGTGCTGATTTAAAGCAAATTTAGTCTATGGAGACATTTTCCAGCACACCCAGGGAGGCTGTGTCCTGTTCCTACTCTCCCAGAAGACTTGCAGATCACTATTTTGTTGAGAACTTCCTCTCATGTGGCCCAGAGCACCACCAGTGCCTCTGGCTTCTGCTTTGCTTCTTTTCTTCCCTACTTTTTCCCAACTTGGGACTCTGATCTTAGCTGTGCCAGGGCTGCTCTCTGGAGCCCTGTGTTGAACCAGCTCAAGGGTCCTCCCAGTCAGACACAAATAGGAAAAACCCAAACAACCCTGAGCAAAGAAGAAGTAGCAGGAGCAGGTTAAAGCAGCATTTCCTGGAAGAAGTGTGTGTAAAACAAAGAACCTTGGATAGGTTCCTCACTTGGAATCCTGGTAGTTTAAAAACCCTTTGAAAATCTCAGCAATCAAATTAGGCAGAACTGTCTCCAAGGGGCATTATTGTAACCATGTAATTACCATGGTTTTCTTTTAAAAAATGTAATCCTTAAATACAGATTTTCTTGAATAACTCATAGTATTTGATACTGTGTATTACATTAAGTCTGATTGTGACAACAACCTTTCTTCCTGTGTGTATGAAATGATGAGTTAAAAAGATCTCGCTTCCCTTGCTAGTTAATGATAGCTTTTTGTGAAGGTATTAATGTTAGTTGTTGATGCACTTCTAAAGCTACATCTAAACAGCCATAATTTCTGGGGAGCTATCTGACTTCCTGCAGATTGTTTTTGCAAATGAACACACAAATAATTTGATTGATGCAGAACAATTAGTCCAAACCCTTCAGTTCCATTTAGTCCTGCTTGTGAACTTTTGCCACACATAGGCTGGGTTTGTATCCCTGTGCAATTTTGGTGGTACAGCCTG